TTTTCTTACATGGTGCCACTTACTTAAACTTGAGTAGTTTTGTTCTCACCCGGGTTAATATCAAGATTTATTACTTGAAAAGAATCAACTATTGAGTAGGCACTCGTATGAGCAAGATAGATTATCTATGCTCAGTCCTGGAGTCATGTCACGTAAATAATAAAAGAATTATACACTGCTTTTAAAATTAGGGAATATAATCAATATTATGTATAAAATTTTACTTGATCATTTTAAGTTTAGATAAGTGCTGATTTACCAGAAGTCATAAATTTTACTCGTATTTTAGAGCTCTATACTCTCAAATTTTCAGGCTAATGATCCTAACCCTCCTTGGCTCCACCACTGAACGCAATCTACCCTCTTTGAGTTATACAAGCGTCATGTATATCATACACACAAAGTATCTCATAACAATAATATAAAGGGAAATTTCGGAGCATGCAGTAAAGGCACATCAAGTCAGTGGTAGAAACCATGCCCGAGGACTCATACCGTCTGGTAATGGTGGACGTGAGCAAAGCATGGACAACTCTCAAACGGGGCTCGCGAAATGAAGTGTTACGGGAGTTCTGCGGGTTGTAGGAAGTGCCATCCCCACAAATAGTTAGTCTGCCAGAACACCTCACGGTCAACATTATGTGGGAAATCAAGGAGCTGCTTAGTTGAGATCGCGGCATCTCGGAAACCAAGTCTGCTCTGGATCGGAGCTGGGTAGCAGTGATAGCAAAATCCTCTCCAAAAGCTCTAAAAGAAATTTCCTTCACATCGGGGTTCTTGATGGTCTTTGGTGCATTCATGGTGGCTAAGACCTCACAAGTGATATCCCAAAAAGCTCTTGGATGCCAAAGAATAGATGCTTCCACCAATCCTTCTTAATGAGGTCGAATACCTCATCCGCCAAGCCTTCTCTAGCTGCGTTCAATGACCCAGGCTTCGGGTAGTAAAGAATGCCCATGGATTTTGTGTAGAGTTACTCAAAGTTCGCCCTTTGCACATCGGTAGCAAATTCCACTTCATAGAGGCCGGCCCCTCCCACCTACCTACATGGTGACTGTAGGGGGTCGGCTGCTGCTAGCTTCTTCATCATTCCGGGCTCTCTTGGCCACTTTCTTGATTCTCGGCATCTACAAAAAGAAAGCACTCCAACGGGGCTTCCAAACATTAGGCACACATTCAAAAGTCAAGGAAATAGCCCCGTTAGCCTCAACTAATCATAATCAAAAGCAATCACCTAAGCAAACCCAAGTTTAACCAGAATAGTCAAAAAATTGAGATTTTAGTCAAAGAAAAAACTTTGAATAAAATTCAAATTTTTAATAACACGCAGTATAAACAAGGTCACAAGTAAGAATAAATTATCAAAACATTTTTCCGAATTCACAAAAAAATCATCAAAGTAATCACATTTTAGGGAAGAACTCCCAAATTCACAAATTGTCCAAAACAACCTCAACAATTTGGGCTGAATAACACATATAGAGCATCCAAAACATGAATTCAAGCCACATATTGAACAAGAAATTCGAAATCCCCAACATTCAAGCCACATGCAAGACTTTAATTCTAGGCATTGGCAAAATTAAGCTAAAAAATTAGGGATTCATAATCAAAGAGACTTAATAGCAATCATAGAACACAAATATCATCAATTGAAGCTTTAATTCGAGCATAAAGAATGAAATCCCTAATTTTCGCACTTCACAATTTTCGGACCCAAAAGCTTGTAAATGGAGAAAGTAGAGAGGAGAAGCGTTTACCTTGCTTGAGGGAGAAGAGGGGAGAGTTATCGCTGGAAAAGATGAAGAAAACGGGGGTCCTTGGTTGCTTTTCGCTCGTCGCACGCCGGTAGGGAGGGAAGTTATCGCTCAGTGAAGAAAAATAAACGCAGGTCGCACCGTGTGCGGAACCCGCACGGTCTAACCGTGCGGTTGCACCTGCAGCGTGATTTTAAAATCTTTGAAGCGCGGGGTGTGCGAAACCTGAACGGTTGAACCGTGTGGGATGTTCTGACCTCTGAGGCTATGTTTTTCGGTTTTTTGCACCGCGGAGCGCGCGGTTTCATCCGCGGGATGCGCGGACCCTCAAAAACTCAATTTTTTTGGTATTTTTCGATTTGTTTTTAAAACAAAACACACAACTAACACTAAAAAGAAAAAATAAGCTCGGGTTGCCTCCCGAGAAGCACTATTTTTAACGTCGTGTGCCCGACACAAGTAAAACGCTCAATTCTCAAAATCCGCGACAAAGGTTACCTCACGCTCGCGCTCTAACGGTCCTCCGTAGTACTTCTTCAGGTGATGGCCGTTGACTTTAAATCGGCCCTTCTCGGGATGGTCTATCTCAACAGTTCCATATGGAAAAACTTCACTCACTATAAACGGACCGGACACCCTAGACTTCAACTTACCTTTAAAAATCTTCATTCGGGGATTGAATAGCAGAAATTGATCCCCCTTACAAAACTCTTTTCCTTGTTTAATATGCCGGTCATGATAGGCTTTGGTACGCTCCTTACTAATCTTAGAATTCTCATAGGCCATAAGCCTCCACTCATCCAACTCGTTAAGCTTCCAAAGCCATTCACGACCTGCCAAAGTAAGATCCTTATTCAGCGTTTTCAAGGCGCGGTAGGCCTTATGCTCTATCTCTACCGGAAGGTGGCACGCCTTCCCATAAACTGGGTGAAACGAAGTAGTGCCAATGAGTGTCTTATACGCTGTACGCAATGCCCACAACGCATCATCTAACTTATCAGACCAATCCTTCCTATGGGTCTCAATGGTCTTCTCAAGGATGGTCTTAATGTCCCTATTCGAATTCTCAACTTCGCCACTAGTTTGAGGGTGATAAGGGACGCCCCTTTATGAGTGACCCTGTACTTTGCCAGAACGCGAGTCATGAGATCATTCCTAAAGTGGGTACCCCTGTCACTTATCAAAACTCTTGGTACTCCAAATATAGAAAAGAACTTCTTCATAAAACGAATCACAACTCTAGCATCATTTGTGGGTAGAGCTTCAGCCTCAACCCACTTAGAAACATAATCCACAGCAACCAGAATGAATTTATTACCTTTAGAACCCGGTAACGGCCCCATGAAGTCAATGCCCCAAACATCAAATACCTCACAAGCCAAGATAAAATTCTGGGGCATCTCATCCCTCTTGGTAACCGCCCCGGTGCGTTGACACCTATCACATTCCTGCACAAAAGTTAGAGCATCTTTAAACAAAGTGGGCCAGAAGAAACCATATTCCAACACCTTGCGAACTGTTCGATTGAAAGAATAGTGTCGCCCAGTCGGTCCGGAGTGACAATGTTTCAGAATTTCAGCTCCTTCACTAAGGGGAACACATCTTCTAACAACTTGATCAGCACAAATACGAAACAAATATGGTTACTCCCAGAAATAGTACTCCTGGAGTAGTAATATTACCCGAATCAATCTAGACTTAGCATCCACTTTTTGCATCAAATATTTAAGAGCAGAATGATCGGTGAATATCACTACCTTAGACAAAATCAAATAAGGACGAAACTTGTCGAGAGAAAACACAACGGCAAGTAATTATTTCTCGAAGGTTTAACGACAGGGCTTCAATAGGCAACCTTGCTGGACATATTTAAGGTGAGGATGACTGACTATATTGTCTATAGCTCGTGAGCATAAGATTACCTAAGTAATCAAATTATGATTTTGATGAAATTAAACGATATACTTCAATGTGAATAAATGTGTTGCTATGTGATCATATAAATTGATACATGATATTACAAAGGTGGATAAGCAAAGGTATTATGCATGAGGGGAGAAATCCTTGAAATATATTAATTATTGAATTGATATTGATGAATAGAATGATATAGACAAATGTTGCTAAATGTGTGAGTCCATAAGATCTTAAGAGGGATATATGGATACCTATGTGGATAGGCAAAGTGATTAAATGTGAAGTAAGAAATACTTGAGTTATTGATATGGTCAAAGTGATATGAATCCGTAGTGATTAATTGTGTGTGCTATCTATAGTATTGAATAAGATAGGCATGAACTTAGAATGAGTGATGGACTACGGTCACGCTCAAAGGAAATGGTGGAGTCTACCTAGACTATATGAAGGCAGCCCGGGGAGTCTTGATGAAGACTAGCCCGATGTTGATAGATTATGATTTCTCGAATACAATGAGTATTGAGGTGGTCGAGGCCACAGTCAAATAAAGATATGAACGTTGGGGGATATATTAGGGGTGTGTAAGCCCTACACGAACTAAGATTATACGGGGTGTGTAAGCCCTAAACGAATGACACATATACGAGGTGTGTAAGCCCTACATGAATAAAGTATTACGCGGGCTGTGTAAGCCCTAACGGATAAAGTATTACGCGGGGTGTGTAAACCCTAACGAATAAAGGATATTACGCGGGGTGTGTAAGCCCTACACGAATAAAGTATTACGCGGGGTGTGTAAGACCTAAACGAGTAAAGTATTATACGGGGTGTGCTACACGAGTAAAGCATTATACAGGGTGTGTAAGCCCTAAATGAATCAAAGATATTATACTGGGTGTAAACCCAAAATGAATGAATACAACCGTAGGGTGTGTAAGTCCAACGTGGATGAGTACATAGGATAATATGTGTAACCCTCTCAATGTGGGTGTGTAAGTACAACGGTTTAGACTAGGGGTGAGGTAACCTCTCGGGATTGCTATATGCAAGTATAGGCTATGGGCTTTTAAAGGGAAGTGTTTTGAAATACAAATGGGCCTACGGGCTGGCTGTTTGATTAATATATATATATACTAGTTATTACACGCGCGATGCGCGATAAGATGAATGCCCAAGGAAACTTTAGGACTGCACCAATTTTTGTTAAAAAGTATATGGAATTCTTATTTTAGTGGGTACTTTGTTGTTGCTTTGGATGTTGTTTGATGAAAATGCTCCAGTTTTGAATATTGAATTTTTGGAATGTAGATTTTCAATATATTGTTTTGCATTGGATTATAATAGACATTTTACATGTCTCTAGGTGGCTATATAACAATTTCCATTGAAACAATGTTATACTACGTATAAGATTACATGTAACAGGTAGGTTGAGGATTAAACAAAAGTGCTTATTAGGATAGGACTGCTCCTCTGCTTCTTGAGGATTGAACCAAAAGCTTCCTAGCCATGTTGAGTCTGCTACTTTGTCCCTTGGATCAGGCAGCCCTGACATAGACAATCTTGTATTAGGAGGCTTCCCAAACGTTGTCACTATTATACTTCCATTTCCATCAACCCTCCCTTGACCATGCATAATTCCATGGTGTATACCCCCATAGACCTTAACATGGGATTATGGAATGCCATACCCATCAAGTTGTACTTTTTCAATGCACCTCTTTCCTTCTTGCAAGCATGCTGGTGACCACGTAATGCTTGAGAGCTATAATTCTTCGCATACAAAAATTACATTAAAACAACTTAGGAGAATCAGGGTTTGAAGGTGTGCTTTCTCCTCCCATGCCTAAACTCAACACTCTCCTGAACCATGCATGGTTGCCTCATGATCTTTGTGCTATAATGTTTTCACAAGACACGGGAACTCACGGGAGTAAACAATCAAAGAATTCAAACACCTCTGTCAACAATCTGCGACAATATATGTATGACCGGATTTTGACAACAAAAACTACAACACAAAGAATTGAGTTTAGATTTTAATTTTCAAGAGGGGTCATGAAAGGGGGAAGTAATAGTTGTTTTGTGATTTGTTCGATTATAGTTTAGATGGAGTATTAACTTGAAAACAATTAGACCACATTAAATCTCATACCAGTTTTTACACTTTCCTTGTTTTCTTCTTCGTAATTTACTGTTGGAGCTTTCTACTACATTGTTGGAGTTCTGTGATTGCCGCTAGATGACCTGCAAACATTGAACATCATTTATCACGAAACTAAACAAAATATTACATTTAAGCATTACATTAGAACAAACACCCAAAAGAGCTACAGCTACAAGAAACCAAAAATATAATTATTAAGAGCTACAACTACAAGATACCAAAAATATATATTTCAAAATAATGGTCTGGGAAAAATCATTTTGGGTACATATACAAGAAACCTAGAATATACAACTTTATCTCCAATAGTGGTCTGGGAAAAGATCATTTTGGGTACACAGCTCTACTCGAAGAAAATTGGAGGCACTTGGGCAGGTAGTGATCTAGCACTTTAGTTGTTTAGCTTTGCATACTCAAAGAGTCAAAGCTGCTCCACCTGACAAAAATTGAATATCTTTAAGTTTTGATAGCAGTCTCTTGGTTTCCACCTCTTTTTATTACTCCTATCATATTTCACCAAAGTGGACAATTGTCCTATGTATTTCTTCTTATGTATGAGGAGGTTTTATTCTTAAACAATGCTGAAACAATGTATGATGGACAATTGAAAACCTTTTAAGCTTAAAGAAGACTATGTCAAACTTAAAAGGAGAGTAATAACCAAGCTGAAGAGCTTAAAATAAGAAAAACTTGTACGCTTAAAGAATACTATGTCAAGCTTAAAAGAAGAGAGTGATAACCCAAACTTAGAATGTTAAATTAAGAAAACCTTTGTTCTGCAAAACTAATTATTTTAGAAAAAATGGAAAAGCTTGAAAACTTCAGAAGATTATACCCAATTTAGTCTTCTTTCTTAAGGAATAAAACATTTATACCCTAAACATTTTAGGATGCATTTAGAGAAGTCTTAGCTTGTACACCACCTAAAATTCAGCTGGGCAAAAATATTTTTACATATAATGTGTACTTAATGTTTGGCCAACCTACAAAAGTCCCTCTTTCACCTGCAGATGGTAACCCATGCTTAGTCCACAACATTTTTACTTTTGGGCAGTTTCTAAACAAGTGAGGAGGGTTCTCTTATGCTGTTTTACATAACTGGCAGCCCGCTTGAACTTGCAGATGTTTTCTCCTCAAGACATCAACTGTTGGAAGCACCCCGATCGCTACTTGCCAGAATAAGAGCTTGACTTTCGGTGGGAGCTTCAAATTCCAGGCTGATGTCCAATCCCCCATCCTTTTTTTGAAAGGAGTTTAAGTATTTCATACAAATAAATTAAAACTGGCAGCACTCAAATCTCATAAGGAATCGTAGCTATTTTTCTTCCAGTAGCTTTAGAGATTTTAAAAATAGCCTGCAAAGGATAAGCTCTAACATACATGTAGTTGAACTGATAAGGACATTTACAATGATGCTTTAAAAATGTATTTATGTTATTTGAAACCACACTTTATCTGATACCTTGCACTTATTCACTTATGGAAGGATCACCTGCAGTAGTATGTTTTGAGAAATAATCTGCCTAGATGTTTAAAAATTTGTCTTATCTGCTAAAGAATGAATGAAAATAGTTTCTCTGTAAAGTAGAACAATTTGAGAAAGACCATGATGAAATGTTCATGAAAAAATGTTATGAGAAGTAGAAGAAAACTGTAGCAAATTAGCAATTACCTGGTGAAGAAATTATCTCTAATGGATGTATATCCGATCAGCCAATAAAATGGAAGAATAAACAGCTACAATTTGGGGAAATTAAATATCTATAAGAAATGCAGGAAACAATTTTTATATTGGACATGCAAAAAATGTAAAGAAATGTCAAAATATCTGAAAACACCTAATATTCTAGTAATTCTACATATACAATTAGTTAATGTTTGTAATTATAGCTTAATTTTGGTAAACACACAACTACACTGCCAAGGATTTCAATTTCAGCAGCTAAATGTGCCATCTACCTAAAAATATCAGTTTGGCATCAAAGAAATTTAAGTAATCCTTACAAATTAAGTTAATACTGGCAATACTCAAATCTTGCAAGAAATCTTAGTGAGGTTTATTCACAAAAACCTGGTATCATTCAAAAAATCTGAATTTCCTTATTATATTGTTTCCTTAAAGTTTATTTCACGAATACTTTTAACTATTCTTAGTTTAGATAAATCAATCATTTAAACCAAAATTTTAGCAGCTACTGCCTCTTCAGCCATTATAGGCATTACCGCATTACCAAACTGATTCAAGAAATTTTCACATGATTGAAATTGAGTACTTTAATTAATACTCATACCCTGGGGGAGGGGGGGGGGCATATTGTTTGACAAACCATTCTGAAATTTGAGGAGTTGATGCTTCAAACATAGTTTTTGCTAATCCTAGATGACCGATGATTCTTGCAATCACGGCCGCCCGGACAGAATCAGGGCCCCCGCATAGTTCATCTGCGTCTTCATTATCATATTTGCCCCAGCTTCTAAGCATCTTTCTGCCCTCCTAACCAAGAGGTCCACATCTTCAACATATTCTGCATAAAATAATGCTAGATGGTAGATGCAATGAAATGAACACATTCATATTCATATCGAACTATATACATAGTATTTTTTTGGACCAAATTCATATCTAACTATATTCAATAATGGGTTTTAAATAAAAGTAATAATTTATAAATAATTATGTAATGAACACTTATTAAAGTATATCATATATCTATTATTGGTTGATTAAGTCCGTTCTCTATTATTAAATAATAAAATAACGGAAGGATAGTCTATTTTCCAATATTTTCTTCTTCCCTCTCATGCACTCTATCAAAACAATGTATAAAATCCCTCCTATCCTTCCTCACACATCCACTAAAGATTAAATATTTCTCCTCCCCTCCGTTGAACCAAACTCACCGTTACTCGTCATTAGTAACTCATTCAACTTTTACGAGTATATATTCCAGCAAACTCTTCCGGTTATCTTCTACTGAAAATCTTGAGGAAAAAATAAACAATGAAGAGGCCGTTTGGCAACCATGATTTTCGGCTTATCAGGCTTATCAGCCAACTTTTTCACCAAACACGTAAAGTTTGCTTTCGCGCGCTGAATTGTGTAATAAGCAGAAAAAGTAAGGTTTGAGTTACTTTTCTGGCTGTATTGGCTGAAGTTATTGTAGATGACAATTTTAGCTATTTTTACATATAATTTTTTCTTTATTTTATTAATAAAATGTATTTTAATTTTTTTTTATTATATGAGTAGAATCAGCCAATGTAGCCACTTCAGCCAGAACTTCATAAATTTCAGCAGAATCAGCCAAAACAGCCGATTTTCATGCTACCAAACAGGCTCGAAATATATTAGAAATAATTCGGTTGTAAAAAACATTTGGTTAAATTTAGAAAGTATAACAATGAAGCTAGCAAGCTCCAAATTAACCAAATTGTGAAGTTAGACCTTCCAACCTGTAGCTAAGCTAACACACACAACTCTCTAACTTTCTTCTCCTCCCAACTACAATTCTCCAGCTAAACAAAGGCTTAAGATACATGGACAAATACCTGAAGGTGTAGTTGAGCGAAGCAGAAGCTTCCATCAAGAGGCTGTTTGATCAAGCAATAATTTTTTGATATTGTTCGAACATACATTTCTCCACTAACTCCAAGAGCACAACACTTGATGTAAGCACATACTTTTGTTTGAACAATATTTTGTTAGTTAGCAAAAATGGGTGAATAAATACATACAACAAACATATTGTAAGGGATAGAAGCCTACCAGGAAAAGGGTACGGTGTTGTGCAGCGGAAGAGAACCCGGAACCCCTGCCACGCGATGAAAACAATAGGAAGAAAATGAAAGGGGAAGAAGGAGGTGAGTAGTGTCGGCGATAATCTTCCCGCGGACGAAGGTCGATCCTCAGCCCCTAACCTAATCAATGTGGTGAAATGAGTGGTGGAATTGAAAGGAATAACCGAGAATGGAGATTGAATTGAGCCCAAAGGTTTTCCTAAAGAGGATGGTAGATAGAGGGAGAGACGTTCAGACGTTTACTTACGAGGAAAGTAGAGAATCGAGTACATCGACTCAAGCACACAGTACAAGTTTATTAAGCTATGATGTACCACCAACAAATTTTTAATACCCAATATACCCTTACTTTGATTCATGCTTATAATTTTGTAGAGATATACTAGTTTTCTACACACGCGATGCGCGAATGTATAAAATGCCCAATGATTTTGATTTTGAAAATGTGCACATTAACACCATGACAAACATCTAGTAAGTATTTATATAGATGATTCACATTCGATCTAATATAAGACCTTGACATGATAATTTACGAGATAGGAATGAAAGGTACCGTAAATAAATATCGAGGAAAATATAAGATTCACTAATATACAAAGTAAATATTTTTATAATGCGTAAATTATCCGCATATAACTTTAAATAATACAAATTATCTTCAATGAACCAAGCAAATAATACCTACTTTGGATATAATTTTACAAATGGCTCAATGAAGATGATAATGAAAGATAGGCATTGTCTGAACTCGGTTTATGTAACCTCTAAATTGCTATATAAAGCATAGACATATCAATCACATGCAAATTTAGTTGGGCATAATCATTTTTCATTTGCTCATTATTCTCACAAAATTCAGTTGTACTAATCAGGTACATTAATATGAAAGTATTAAATAAGTGGCCCTACTGACAAATATCATTTATTTGATGTTTTGATATGGGTAAAGCACGCATGCTTATGAAGAAAATTGGAGCATACTAAGATAGAAGCGACTATAGGCCGGCCAAGTATTTCATGGTCTAATTGCATCATTGTTGATTTCCCAAAGAGGTGATCGCAGGTTTGAGTCTCATCTTTATCAAGGATGTTGACATTATCATGAGCGTATACTATAATAGATTTAAAAAGATATCCCACCCCAAAAAAAAATTATAGAACTATGAAAATGTAGTGGCAAATGATAAAAGTAAGAAGTATACCTTTCCTTTTCTATATACGGAGTAATTTTTTCTCAAATCTATTAATAAAATACTCCCTCAGTCCCATTTAAAGTTTCTCACTTTTCTGTTTTAGGAAACAATTTAAATGATAATTTAATCATCAATAACCCATTATATTACATACTCATTACAATTATTTCTCAAAATATACTCAAATTAGCACATTTAATTATTGTCTTAATAATCGTGTCATTTTGTCAGGAGAACTTTTAAATGGGACGAAGAGAGTATTTTATACGTAGTATATATTTTTTCTACAATTCAACATTTTCACATAATTCAACTGCTTCAGTTATCATTTCATCAATTTTGTATACTCAGCTAATTAAGCCAATGCAAATTTCAAGTGGTATCGAACAGGGTCTAAGTTTATTAAAAAATCGTGTTGACAGTTCTACTATTTCTATTTTTTGCTTGAGAAAGAAAGGAAAAAAGACATCCATACTCATAAATCTAATAGCTTATTACATAGTAATATAGTATACATAGTAATGATAGTATTTGTTAAAGCATAAAACAAAAAGAAAAAACTAATTAAGAATACGAAGTACTCCTTGTTAAGCGTTGGGAGCAAAAATAGAGGTACTAATTGACAATTTCAACTAACGGAGTTTGATGTTCCTTCCGGTATTAAATTGTTTGACAAACTAAAGTACAATAATTTTAGCTCAAAATACAAGTTTACATTAGCTTATGATTACTACCAACACATTTTCCATACCCAAGCTGCCCTTACCTTCATTCACCTTTATAAGATTGTGTATATATATATATATATATATGTATATATATATATATATATATATATGTGTGTGTGTGTGTGTGTGTGTGTGTGTGTGTGTGTGTGTGTATATATTATACATGACTTGAAATGGGGTAGCTATAGGTTATGCCCATAATATGATATCACCCTATGTTGAGGGTCTTGTGTTTGAATCATGGATTATATTCAGTATAGTTGTCATTGTACTTTTCAAATGCTTCAAAGTACTAACCTCCCCTTCACACGGGAGGCCACCTCACAGTTTTCAGGTAGTAGCTAGAGCTTTCTTCCTGTTCCCGTTGCTTCGGGTGATCTATGGAGAGAAGACGTGGTTCGTGCTTCTTCCAGTTCTATTTTGATATAAATAAAATAATGCTCATGGAACTATTTTAAATTATAAATGATTTGGGAGCTTGCACGCTCATGTTCGACCTGTGTGGCATTTGACTTTAAAAAGTGTTTGTATTCCGCTGCGTATTTTGAAATTCTTTACTTATGACTGTTTATGGATGTACTTGTGTGAATGATATTCATGTACGCCTTGCATGGTTCGACTAAGGTGAACTGCGGTTGCCTTAATCGGATTATGCGGCGGTTGTTAGCGTGTCCGGCCAGACCGGGGCGTGACAATATTGATCACCGCTGGCTTGATTTCGTAGCGGGGTGTAGTAATTCCCGGCACCTGAATGCTGTCATAATCTGTAATATCCGGAGTGAGGAAATCTGCAATGGTCTCTCCTTGATAGAGCGGGTTGTCATGCGGGACATAATTCTGGAATGGAGGAGCCTGCTGTCTAGGCTGAAAAACTGGTTGTGGGCGAATAGGGTGAGGACAGACGATGTTTGGTTACGGTTGGGGCTGCACTTGAGGCTGGTGGAACTGTTGAAACTAGTTTTGGAAAAGCTGAGTTTGCGGTTGGGTCAGGGGTGGATTTTGAGTGACTGGGGGTGGGTTCTGTCGGGGCTGAAAGACCGGATTGGTTTGCCCTATACTTTGCATCCCATAAGTTTGGTTTTGAAAAGTGGTTTCAGGAGCAGTAGAGGTATTTTGGAAAAGCTGATATAGTGGTGGAAGATTTAATTGTGGAGTGGACTGATTTTGAGGAAAGAATGAGGTGCGGAAATTCTGAAATCCTGAGTAATTTCTAGGTGAAATAGGCGGTGAAGACTGGGGAGAGATATTGACATAGAAATCAAGGTTACCAGAAGTGGTTTGGACCTCAGACGTCCCAGCTATTCCAGATCATGTAGGTTCCATGGTTGCGTTCTTCTCACGAAAAGCCT